AAATTTGCCCGTGGAAGATATTCGTCGTTTTGAAGTATTCGACTGCAGATGTTTACGTAGTTTGGCTCGGGTTGGATGGAGCGAGCTTGTAAGCAACTCTGAGGTGAGGCGTCGCGTATTTGGTAATGATTCGATGAAGAATTCTTTGTCCCATCGAATTCAGATTAGTTGGCTTCGCTGGCTAGGACACGTATTGCGCATGCCCAGCCATCGTCTGCCGCACCGCGCCTTATTCGCGGTTGCGGCTCCAAATTGGAAGAACCCGCGTGGTGGTCAACAGAGGACGTGGAAGCGAGGCATGAAGAAATGCACAGAGCAATTAGGTAGAATCGGTGTTTCCCGTCTTCTAGGTTGGGGTCCGAAAGACTCTACAACTGGTTGGCTGGAGATATCAAAGGATATGGCGACTAACCGACAGCAGTAGCGCTCTTGTCATTTCTTAACAAGACAGAATGCTTGAGAAAAAGAGTATGCATGAACACTTAAATTGTGTGCTCTGTGTGTTGAACATAGAGTTTCTTTTTCTTTGCCTCGCTCCAAGTAGGCCCAATCCCTCTCCATCTTGTGCTTTATCATTTGATTTGTGTACATCGTGGGCTTGGCAACGATCAGTGAAGCTCGCTTCACTGTATCTCGCTGTACGATGATGATGATGATGAGTGTTGAATCACAAAGCAATCGAAAACTCGCAGGTGGTGTGCGAGTGTGATCTCCCGTGAAAATATTTCAGCATTTGTTGAAGTCGGTGTATCAATAACTGTGATTACTAAAACTGCAACCCGTGGTACCACCTACTTGCTTTCTCTATGCATTCCTACATGATCACATAAACATTTTGAAGCTACTTGTTGCGTATACGGGCATACCCGTCTCTGTTGAAATGTTCATTTTCCCTCGATACTTCGAAATTCAGGCAGAAAAAAGGCTGTTCACTTTGGAGCACAGAACACGTTGTCGTCTTGAAACCGCATCAGAGCTGCTGACAATGCTTTCTTTGGGTGCTAGACCCAAGGAGCGGGTTTTGGTCTGTGATCAAAACGGTGACTCATTCCCTATCACGGAGATTCAGCAGTTTGTCATCCAAATATTGACCGAGACACACGAGTTTCTAGCCGATGTCCGACTAACGCCCAGGACGCACGAGCCGAGCCAAACTACCGAACCGGTCGGGGGAACTACAGTAGAAGTTACAGAAGTTCCCGATAGTCGAGGTCGCCTGATTTGTGTACTAGACTACTGTCGTCGTGCTGTTGTTCAATGTGAAACAATTCTTCACGAGCTGGGCGTATGGTGTGCGGCCCAGATAGCTCGAGTATTTGTAAAACACCTAATCGGTTTAGATCGACGCCGTAGCGCCCAGCTGGCTGGAAAAGGAGCACAATTAGCTGCAACAAACGCAGAACACGGCGAAGACCAGTTGGCTCGAATTTTACGATTCACGTATACACAACTGTGCATCATTGTTCGTCTTTTTCAAGTTGTGTTTGATAAGTAAGTATATTCGGTCTAATTCAATAGTAAGTGATCTTTTCTTGCATATAGGTTGCGCACTGTAGATCTTGGAACCTGTGAATTTTTCTTTTGCTGTATAAAATAGAATGTATCTTTGAGAGAAGATTATTCGAATGATTCCTCCTTGACTCAGAGGTTTATAACGGTTAATATACCTTTTTTCAAGTTGTTGCATTGCTCAGAAATAATCATTTAATTTTTGTGGTTCATTTTTAATGATGCTTCTTGTATAGTCACCCATTAAGAAAAACGGTTAGAGGTGTTGTCCAGTTTGTAACCTCTGTTATGCGTCATAATCTTGGCATATTCAATGCAGCCCCGCCACCACCACTCAGCCTTAAGTGGTTCTACACCACAACTGACCTAACAGGGCCTTATGTGGTTCGCCACTTCAAGGCCCGGGACATCCGATGCCGGTTTCCATTACTGAACAGCAGGTCTTCTTGGCTTTGGGGTCCGCCCCCTCTGCTACTGTGTAATTGAAAATAATGAAAAAAAACAGTGATTAAAAACCGCGCACGAGTAGTTGAGTCAACTTCGCTTTTCTTTAGGACCGTTCGGCCTAACACTGGCTTGGCAAAGTCAAAATCACACCAGTACTACGCAAATTGGTGTCTGTGCGTTATTGGCATTGATCCTCTTGAACTGAATGACTGTGAGTTAGCCTGAATTCTCCAAACGGGAAATAATTCCAGTTTACTACTTCGATCTGAACTACTAAGGGCTTAGTAGACGTATTTCTTTCCTTTTATTGAATATATAAGGATACAGCTTTCAGGAAGGGAGAAGCAGCCACCCAAAGGTCTGTCACACAGAACGGGGAAGATCAGGTGGTGATGATTGAATTCGGACACACGTCCTCCGAGACGATAATATGGTGACCTTTACCACTCGGCAAAGCTATAAAATGCTTCCAAGGCTTTTTACTTAAACATGACACGTTGATTTCGCATGATGAATTCAGATTTTCGGTTTTGTTTACCGGCATATTCTCATAGAGAGACGTCCGTGGTTCTGGTAAACATGTAGGACATTTCAGTTTATCCGGTGACGGATTACCTGGTTTCCAAAGTGATCTTGGGACATGATTGGTTGTAAACGTCACAAATTAGACAAAAAGTAGTTAGAGTAAGCATTTATTTACTCGGTTTCAGTTATTGACTTAGATTGGAATCATAAGTTGTAATAAATCACCGATCCATGTCCAGAGACATTGTTTGGACCAGTTGAGTTCTGCATAGATCTTTCTCAAGGCAGGAAGTTGGTTAATTGCTCGGGGTCAAACAACTTCGCAGGTTTCTTTTGCTGTTGTTATTCTGGGAACCCCGGTCTCTATTCACGAAACAAACACGTCTGTATTCTTATCAGACAACACTCCCCGGATGTTCATTTTTTTCTCCGGCTAACGAGGAAGTGTTTCACAATCCATTATCACATTGTTGAAATAACCCCACAGGGCACATTTCAAACAATACAACAGAGTGGCGAACAAGCTCGTTTTCAGAGATTCGGATTCATGCCAATACATCTCAATATATATCACTACTTTGGAATAAAATTGTCATGGGAAAATAAAATAAAATAAAAACAGATTACTAAAAACGATTTCATCGTGAGACCGGAAATCGGGTTCACCACGACCACATGTTTGTTGGTCCACTCATCCGATCATCGAGATTACTCACGATGCGGTTTGTATGTAAGGAACCTGGTTCGCTGTCTAGCAAATAGGACAAGAAAGATCTGCAGTGAGGACACGCTAGAAGAAGAGCTCCGTACTGTAAAATCGATCTTTGCACGTAACGAATATCCGGAGCGTTTGGTCAACAAGATGATTCAGTGCACGGAAAACTCTTTACAAAACACCGAGGTTAAGAAGAAATCCGTGTACATTTCTTTACCGTTCAAAGGGGACACATCAGCTGAGATCATACAAAGAAGATTATCTGACGCAATCGATAAGACGTTCTATGCATCTCAGCTTTGTGTGTTGTTCACGTCCAAGCCAATTGTGTTTGCGACTGAAGGACAAAGTTCCAGACTCTGTGGTCTCATTCTGTGTATGCTCATTTACTTGTTCCTGTGGAACAAAGGACATAGGCCGCACGGTCAGGCGATTGTCCAAACGGATTCGTGAACACCACCCCGCGTGGCTGAACACCGGAACGATTAAGTCAGTCACCAGTGCAGTGGTTTCACACCTAGCTGAAACAAATCACACCGTGAACGTATGCGAGGCTTTTCTACCCCTGCAAAAAGTTCGTGGGCGATTATCGAGGCAGGTTCGCTGTCGGATGTTGGCTACGGCAGAAGCGGTGGTCATTCGTCTGCATAACCCCCCTCTGTGTGCCCAAAAGCAATTTGTGCAAGCGCTAAAGCTTCCGTGGCCCACCCCCCATACAAACCGCATTATCACGTTGTTGCTTAAGAGGACAGGCATGCTGCATTATTTGGATTTGGATTTTTACCGTTTTCTGTCGGTATTCAACAAAATCTGCCATGTATTTTACGTGTTGAATTTGATTTATCAAATGATGTGGCAGCAAATTGACAGCAGGACTTTTCATTTTGTTTTTGTTAAACAGCCCTAAAACGTATGCGTGCACACCTGGATTGTGAACAAGTGTTGAGAACTATGATCTATCCTTTCGTTCCTACTGTTACTGCCACTGTCACCTTTGCACTTGTATTACTTGAAGTGTGGATCACTGTACCTCCATGATGACGGACATGGGTGGTATTCGTGACTTGGATTCGTGTATTTCTTATCTCGTACCTTCAGATGCATGACACTAGAAACACTACGAACCATGATCTCCCCGAAAATTCTCACAATGATCGATCAACTCAAAGCGTACAAACCCAGTCTGGATTTTCGAATCGAGGTGGCTGAACTGCCTGGACCGTTCAGCCAAGGTTTGGGTCGGAAAGCTCGCCGACGACGGAATCGTTCTCAGTCGGGATCTCAGTCAAGTACAGTGGGGAGCAGCAGTGGCGGTACTGTAACACCTTTGCGACTCCTTTCTGCCGATACTTCCTCGTTGTCTGATAGTTCGGCGGATACGATGAGCAGTTTATCTGATGCCGATGAGCCGAACGATAAGCTTAGCGTAAAGTATGTTCAATTTTATTTCCCTCGGTAAATTCCCTGGTTCACCTTTCACTCAGCGTCCATGTCCACCAGTTTTACTTATGCACCGTTTGTAGTAAACACTAAACCAATAATTGGGGATAATTTCATAAGTTGCTTAACACGTCATCAATTATTTTTAATTCCTTTACCTTTCCATGTTCCACTGCTTAAGATTGGTGGTCCATCGACACCTATTTGTCTGTCGTTCTCTCGTTTAATCAGTTTTTCAACACACTTATATCGTTTTTGATTGCTCATATCCCTATGTGATGCTACTCTCGTCACTGTACTCACATACCCCTGGTCGAATGAGGGTTTACAACGAACCAAGTTGGCCGTTCGTCACCAGTAGCGGTGTTCGTCAAGGATGTCCTCTTTCGCCGTTCCTGTTCAATTTCGTCGTAGACGAAATACTGGAGAACGCACTACGTGGTCTCCAAAACGTAGGTACTGAATGGACAGCTGGAGCCGTGCGATTTGGAGTACGCCGATGGCATCGTCTGTCTTTTCGAATGTATGGAGGACGCGCAAAGTACACTTGATAGATTATCAAGTGCAGTGGCCACATTCGGTATGTGCTTTGCATTTTCAAAGTGCAAAGTTATGTTGCAAGACTGGGTTTCGCCTACTCCCACTCTGTCAATAAATGGCCAGGATTTAGTTGTGATGGATTACTTTTCCTACTTAGGTAGTTGCGTGACCAATGACGGCAGTGCAGCATAGGAGATAACCGCCCGCATTTTCAAGGCTCGAGCAGCATACGCAGGACTGAAACACCTTTGGCGTAGACGCGACGTTTCACTGAAGTTGAAGGGTCGTGTATATTGTGCTAGCTTTCGTTCAGTTCTGCTTTTTGGTTGTGAGACCTTGAATTTGCGAGTCGAAGATATCCGTCGACTAGAAGTTTTCGATTATCGGTTTGTACGTAGTTTAGCCCATGTTGAATGGAGCGAACGGGTTAGTAACGTGGAGGTAAGCCGTCGTGTGTTTGAGAGTCTATCAGGTATAAACCTGCTAGCACATCGACTTCAGATTGGTGGGCTTCACTGGCTAGGGCACGTATTGCGTATGCCCAGCTACTGTCTACCACATCGCGCCTTATTCGCTGTAGCCGCTCCGGGCTGGAGGAAACCACGTGTAGGCCAACAGATGACGTGGAGACGAGGCATGAAGAAATGCACAGCACCATTAGGCAAAGTAGGTGTCACGCACCTTCCAGGTTTTGGTCCGAAAGACTCCGCAACTGGTTGGTTGGAGACATTGAAGGATCTAGCAGCGAACCGGCAGCAGTGGCGTTCTTGTTGTCGTTTCTTATCAGATCAGAATGCTTGAAACGGTATGTATGCAGAGTTCGATTGCTTTCTCTGTGTGTTGACCATAGTGATTCATCTTCTCCCTCCTTCAAAATAGATCGAATCCCCGTCCGCGTTAAATTTTCCCACAAACATTCTATGCATTGCGAGTTTGGCAGCGGTCAGTGAAGTTCGCTTCACTGTATTTCGCTGAACGATGATGATGATGAACCAGAATGGTTTGATATTGTATACCATATGACAACATTGTTACGATATTTTGCACGGGCTTGGGTGTCTTGGACTGTGACTGGTCGCCATTTCCTTTACGGTCAAGCTACTCCAATAGACCCTGCTGAAGAAGCCCTACTCACTAACCTCACGTCGCAGAGATGCTTTTCCACCAAAGGTGGAAGGGGACAGAACGAAAAGCCGACATCCGGTGCTTTGCCCGGGTCGATGAATCATCAGCGGTTCACCTGGGGGGGAGGGTTGCTGAAGAACATTAATTCCCAACCAGTCAGAAAGAGGTCTATTGAATCACACACATCCTCGTGGTTTTGGCAGTTGTCGTCAGTTTGATTCGGTGTCAAAGTGTATTGGATGCTGTAGTATAGTATAATATAGTATAACATAGTGTAGTATAGTGTGTGGATTCATCAATGGGCTGGTTCTGAAAGAGCTGTACAAACAAATTTACCTGTTGTTGCAGATGGGGTTACTGTGACGAAAATACACTTCCTGGGTACAAGTAATAGAATGAAGAAACAACAGATTAGCTAATATGCATGTCTGACGATCGGCAAAGTGGGTCGTGTACTTCCAGTGTAATTTTGTCGAGCTATTCATATATATATACATATATATATATATATATATGTAGAGGCTGCACCCTGATGTGGTGCGATGGCTTGCGCACCCCCATGACTTTGCGAGTTATACAAGATGACTCCTCTCAGCCGCAAATCCGATCATGCCTAGAAAGCCAATAGGTATAGACCAGAAGAACATCAGTCTTACAATGATTGGGCTCGTCCCTGCAGAGGTCACTCCAGCGAAAAAACACTGGGAGTGGCAATTTACTGGTCAAACCCCCCCGCTAGACGGACGTAGGAGCGAGGTACATGGGGCTTCTTCCTGACGGTGGGGCAATCTTTGTAGATCATTGGACAGCTACCACCTACCTCAGCTGGGTAGCCCCCAGTCAATAAAGTACTGTCCCGTCCGCGTTCCGCTTATCTCATTGGGTCCACGAGACTAATGGCCCATCCCGAACAGCGGACCGTAAATCAACCCACTAGTGAACAACACACTGAACCGAACCCCAAGGACCTTACGTGACAGGTCTCTAGACGCTCTCACACGAGTGCCTCGGTCACGCTACCGCGTTGGATCTAATCTCACTGCCTCTTGGGTCAAACTTTCAAGTCCAAGGTTCCGGTTAGGGTTCTCAAAGAAAAACAAATAAGTTCTTGCCGCCTTGCGGGCCAGAATTTGAGTCGGACAATGGAGATCGCCTACTTCAACTCTGGGAAACCACGGATTGTTTCTACTGAACACTAAGTTCTCCCGCAAGGAACGACACCGCCTTACGTCGAAACCGCCCATCTCTTCCCAGCGATGGACTCAAATAAACGAAATCGCGATCAGCTACCACTGGCTAGGATCCATTGAAAACCGCCGCTCTTACTGGTCGACATCCGTGAAGACTGACTATCGTTTGCTACGAGCCAGATTCTCACGTCTGCCAAACAACCGGAGAAAAGCCACCGGAAACGGATACCCTCAACACATTGTCAGCAATGGTTGCAAATAGGTCTTAAGGGGAGGGTGCACGTCGTCGCGGCTCGTAGTGTTCTGCTTTACTGTTGCGAGATCTGGCCTCCGAGCGGAGGGTGCTAAACGACTTCCCGTATTCGACCACCGATGCCTTTAGAGCACTGCTAGTGTCTGGCGGGAACATCACGTGAGCAATGACGAGGTTAGTTGTTTTGCGCTGGGTACTGATAGTCCCTGTCTAACGGAAGAAATCGTTCTTCACCACCTCCGATGACTCCGTCATGTTTTGCACATGACTGCCCATCGTCTACCTTTCTGTTCTTTCTTTGCACTTGCTAAGCACGGTTGGAGGAAGCGCCGCGGCGGTCAGACCATGACATGACAAAAACTTCCAAAAGCGTACGGTGAAACTGTAAGAAAAAAAATCATTCATTCATTTGTTTCCCCGTTTTCATTTCATCTTTCTATTCTCTTTTATAATATCACTATCATTGTTTTACGTTGGAACCATGCTGGTTATCAA